CATAAAATAAAAGAAAGTTAAGTTTTAGAGGAGAGATATGGACCTTATTTGCCACGTAATCAAACGAATCCCGTGTTTCTCTCCTGCATCCAAGGGCATTTCCTTCCATCAGTACTGAAGGGTGAAATAGTTTCTCACAACGAAAGGCATAAAAACATTTGAGAAAAAGGACAGAGAGCATGGTTCCCCTGAATACAAAATTTAATTCTGGTGGCTTATCAAAGTTCACAAATCTTAGTTTGGGGACGGTGATGGTGGTAGGGGAAATAATGTTACCACTATAATCCTGTCCAACTATTTCTTCCGTCAAGTCACAATATTTAATAGAAATGGTCTCTAGGTTTTTGCAGCTGTGATAATAATTCCCACTTCATCAGAATCCTTATCCTGCTGCATTTACACTACTAGAAAAATAGAATTTAAATCTTTCGTTAAATGTCATTTTTTATAGCTAAATTGCATTTTAGTTAGGAATTTTGTCTCTCGCTAAATTTGTAGCTAAAAAAGGGCTCACTAAATTTAGTGAGGAATTGTATTTCCCTCGCTAATTAGTGAGGGATTTAGTGAGCGATTCAATTCCTTGCTAAAATTAGCTAGGGACTAAATCCCTCGCTATCCCTCTCTAATACTATTCAAAATTTGATAATTTTAGCGAAGAATTAGTTCCTCACTAATCTCTCGCTAAATATGCTTATATTTAAAAATAACTATGCCACATCACTCGTCATGTGTGATGTCAACTAGTAACATATCATCAACAACCTCATGCTTTGTCAACCACCATATCACCTACCATCTCGCAGCCTATCATCCACCACATGTGCGATAACTCATGACACATCATTATCCACCTTACGTCATGTCACTTGCTTCTTACTATATCATATATTCATCATGTTTATGCTAAAGCCAAGGTTTGAACCCATGACCTCATACCTTTCAAGCTTTATACTCTCCTTCTTTGCCAGTTGAATGGAAAGGTACTTACAATTATTATATAAGAAATTAAATATGTGTATATATATTATTTAACTACATAAATATATCAATAATATGTTATAAAAATATTCACATATACATATTAAATTTTATTTTCAATTATTAATATGTTAAAAATATTTACATTTTATTTAAATTATTTGTTATATTATATTTTAATAAAATATTATTTTATTAATGAAAATCAACTTTAAATAAAGAAATTATTAAATAATTTTATTATGAATATTTTAGTTATTTTTAAATTTAATTATTATTTTTAAATGAAAAATAATTAAATGTATAATTAAAAGTCATTGTCAAAATTTAATTTTTTGTAGTAATTAGCTAGGGATAGAATCTCTCGCTATTTTCCTCGCTAATTCTCTTATTTTAGAAAGGGATTGACAGTTATTTGCTATTTTCCTCTTTAATTCTCTTATTTAGAAAGGGATTGATAGTCCCTTACTATTTTCCTCGCTAATTCTCTTATTTTAGAGAGGGATTGACAATCCCTCGCTAATTTCCTCGCTAATTCTCTTATTTTAAAGAGGGATTGACAGTCCATCGCTATTCGCTAATTTGGTATTTTATAGAGGAATAGACGATTTCTCACTAAATTTTCTCACTAATTTACATTTTTCTAGTAGTGTTAGAAATATTGAGATCTCTGAGGTGAGAAAATGGGGTGCATTTATGCAAGGATGGAACAAATTAAAGGGTCGTGCCACTATTGGTTTTAAGTCTTCCAAAAGGTGACACTCACTTATAATCAACTCATTGATGTCTCCAAAAAGCACCACTCTGTTTCCCAAATCAATGTCATTAAAAAAAAAAAAACAACTGTTTTTAAAGAATAGGCATCGCGTCCAACATTTTCAAGAACATTATTCCATGATGTAGCTGAACGCAGACAATAATTTTTGAGTACGCGATCCAGCGACTGACCCGGAAAAATTAATTAGTGAGGGCAAAATTTACATTTAAATAAATATTAATATTTTTAAGATATAATATTTTTAATGTTTATTAAATTAAATTAAAGGTAAAATTTATAACAATAGAAAAAATAATGTCTTTATAAAACCAAGAAATTTATAAATATTAGAAAATAATAATATTTTTTAATTTTATTATTTATTAAATAAAATTTATCTACTTCTTTTGTATAGTATAGAAGTTTTTGAGATAATTTTTTTCATTTATACAATTAGAGAAATTTATTTTTTTAATTATTATTTCCTCCATTCTAAAACTATTTTTATTTAGAGAGTATGGTAGTGAGAGCCATGAATAATTGAAAGTTCATCTATATATGTATAAGTTAATCGATAAACCTTTAATTATATATAAATAAACTTTCAATTATGCAAGACTATCATCATTTTTTCCCCTCTTCTAGGGACTCTCACTGGCATTTTCCCTTTTATTTAAGTTTATTATGTATAGAATAAATTTTAGGCAGAGGAATGGAAAACTTTAAGGAGACATGATTTTTCTAAGGTGGTGGCAACTGAAAATTTTTGGGGGGAGGTAATTGAAAATTTTTCAAAATATAATTTTTTAATTTTTCCCTTATCTAGTAGGGGCAAGTGCCCCTTCTATAATGCATGTAGGTCCGTTCCTGTTGCGATCTTTGTTTCTGGAATCTCATAACATAGGCATTAAACTCTTCAATATCACTAAACTTTGCTAAAATAACTTCTAGCTTTCTCAAACCTTGTAGATCGTGTTCCCTCACATCCATGAATTTTGGGGTATGGTTCAATATAAGAGATTGTAAAATATAGATGTAAAATAGTTGTGGACCCACCACAGTGGTAACAAAGCATTCTAATAAATTTTGATCATCTAACGTGGTCAAAAGACTGAAAGTTATAGTAGCAAGAACTTGCTTTGATTTTGGCGGCGAAACAATACGAAAAATTATATTGAAAGTTTGGGGGGAAATGAAAAATATATTTAATGATGATTAATTATGAAGTTTGATATAAGGTACCAATCATTGAACCACTAAAGTTAATGAGCAAAATTGTGAGTGAATCGTGATCACCTCAGTTATAAATAAAATATTTTATTGAATCAATTAAAACATTAGTTCAACTAATTGGGTTTGGCCTGTTCTTTATAATTATGGTCTCATATGTATTTATTATAAAAAATTATATTCGTAACGAATAATTAAGTATCGATGCCTATGGCATGAAATACGTAAGCAATGAATTTAGCGACATTATCTTGTTTCCTTTGTAGAAGCGATGAATAACTAGGAAACCACTAGACAATTGGCTTCTTCAAAAAGAAAAATATTTATATACTTATTGATCTTTCTTTTTAAAAATTACTCCTTTTGTCCTAATTATAAGACAACATTGGGAAGATCTTTTATCCTAAACTATAAGACAATTTAAAAAATTAATATTTAATTAATAACACTTTTTTAATATTACTCTTTAAGTAAAGAGAGAATTGAATGATGTTATAACTTAATGATTAATTGGGTGGGGGGTTTTGCTAAAAAAAATTGTGTAAGGGCATTTTTTAAAAATTTATAATGTTGTTTTGAAAAAGTAAATTGGTAAAATGTCATTATTATCATTTATTGGTATGCATAATCCTATATCAAGTTATCTTATAATTTAAAATGGAATGAGTAATTAATATCATGATCTTAATTGTAGTATAATATATTTAAAATATATAACACTCATCAGATAGGACAGAGAAAGAAGATTAATTTTGATCTTATTTACAGGGCAATTCACTATTTTTAATATTCATATTCACTTTTCTATCTTTAAATGCTATAAAAATTATTAAAAATAATTATTTTTATTTTTATTAGAAGGTAAAGGTGAAAAATTATTAAATTTTAATATAGATAATGAGATTTAAAATTTTCTTTCATTAAAGTGAAACATGCTTCCAGTGATATATAAACTGGTGAGCAAAACTAAACAAAATTAATCACACCAAACTCATCCAAACTAGTCCAATAAAAATTAAATGAAACCGATTATTAAAAAGCTTTAATTTGGTTTTACAAATTTGAAAATTGAATGGTTTAGTTTAGGTCTCAGTTTTTATTATCTGAAACTTTAACCAAACCTACACCATATCTTTTATATTTTTAAATGTAATTTTTATTATTAATATTGGACATTATTGTTTTTTTTTTTAATTTTAACTTCAACTAAAGTCTAACTCGTATCCAAAATACTTTAATAGAATTTTCAATCCTTCATTTCCTAATGTTATTATTCAGTCAAATGGATATACTCATGTTATTTAAGAATGATCTTTTAAATAATTTTAGATGTATAATTTCACCATGTTTATTTAAAACAAGTTACTTTTCATTATTGAAATCAAAACAAGTTATAATGAAATTTAGCTTGTGTTACTTACAAATGCATATACTCTCTGATGTTTACTGATAATAAAATTTGAATATTTTTATTTTGAATGTGATCATTTTCATTCATGAATGATAGAATGAAGGATGTGATTTGAAGTTGAAATGTGAAAGGAAAAAAGAGCCAAAAATTATAGTCAGTCTCAATATATAATTTATGTTAAAGAAATATTGAAACTTAATCCATATATAAACAAACAAAATCAAACTATCTAAAAATTGAACCAAATTGATCTCGATAAAAAATCAATCAAATGTCATTTTTTAGGCAAATAGATTGGTTTTATTTGGTTCGTGTTTTGATTAAAAGCAAACATGAACCAAAATCCAAAGAAAAAAAATTCTAAACTGTGGAAACATAACCATGAGTAAATTTTTGATCTTTAGGTGAATGCATCAATAAATTCTAAGAGCATAAATTTAATTAAAAAGAAATCTTCTAGCCCCTTTCCAGGAGTTATAAAGAGAATTAATGGACATCTTACGAAGCTTCAAACACATCCATTTGATATTGTAACACACATTTTGGGTTTTGAAGGACCCAACATTGCAGAGCATGATTTGAACACTGGATAGGAAATTAACATCAAGCTATGTATGCCACAAATTGGTTTGGTATGGTTAATATTTATATGAAGTTCCGCTTGATATAATCAAAATAATGTACATACACACCCATTTCAAAATTCTTGACGGAGTCCTGTAATGTAATGAAAGGCCAGGGATGCTCTTATAAAACAAGAGTTATGAAATGAACGAGCCTCGCATTCAATGCCAAAAATGTAACTCCTATTAATTACTGCCAGTAGCCTTTAACCACAATTTTATGTCCTCTTCACCATCTTCATCCTCATCCTCTTCTTCTTCCCCATCCCCATCCTCATCCTCTTCTTCTTCCTCCTCCTCTTCCTCCTTCTTTTCTTCTTCATCATCCTCGTTCTCTTTTTCTCTGTCCTTCTCAACCATATTTTTGAGCTCCTGATCAGATTGGTTCTATTAAAGCCAAACTCACAATTATATTAAGCATGAAAGAGAAGCATTCTAGCGACAAAAAGACCCACACTGTAACTATTTAGAAGTATGGCCATGAGCACAATAACAACATCCAAGACTGATACTAACTAGTCAGGCCTTTTGTCATTAACACAATTTCAATACGACAAACAAATTTGTGATGCCATATTAATTTTCTACTTTTTTCCCGTTTCAAATCTCCTAATTTAATTTCCAGGGGCGTAAAATATTATCTCAGTTAATCATAAATTCAATGCAGCCAAAAAAATGAAAAGAATTATATTCAAACCTTACAAAAGAGAACAGCCATTGAAAAGGAACAAGGGTTTAGAAGGAGAGAAAGAAGCCTTGAGATTTTTTTCCAAAACCCAAAGAATAGATCCCACATTCATTGGAAATTACTGGTCTGAAAACCATAGAGGCATAAATATCATAATCAACAGAACAGTTTTACTTCTATCAATAACTTTATGTTTTAAAATGGAGCTCCAAACAAAATCCTTCTTTCGCTTAGTTGAATTGAGTTCTTTTCTTTCTTCTGAATTTTGACTTTCTTAAATAAAAATATGTGAACAGATGAATTTTCTCCTCTATATCAATTTCTCTCATTAAATTTATTGAATCCGTCAATCAATTCAGAGGGCATAAATTCGATCGAGGAATCATCTAGCCTTTTTTTCAGGGGCTACAAAGGGAACCAAAATCTTGTCAAGCTTCAAACACAAACCCATTTGATCTTGTAAAACATTCATTTTGGGTTTCAAAGGATCCTAGATTGCACTACACGATTTGAACACTGAATAAAAAAAATTAAAATCCAGATGCATGTGCCACAAACTGGTTCGATATACATAGTTAATATTTATCTGATGTTCTGCATATTATAACTGAAATAATATGTTTACACATCCAAACTTTCAAAAGATCAATTAAATTTTGACCAAAATAAAAAAAAAGATCAACTAAATTTAAGTTGAAAAATGCACGACTTATTTTATTAGTAACGACTCCAAAATTGACCATGAATTTCAGCATTCAAGTTTGATCATCTCTAAAACAAAGTGTTAGACCTAAATCCAAATAACAGAGTGAAAGAAAGGGGAAAAAACAGAGCAATGGTAAAGAGAAATTTAAAGTATGATAAAAATTCATGACAAGTATTTAAAATTAAAATAAAGATAAATAAAACAAACACAGATAGCAGTAATGTTCATATACGTGCTCAGCAAAGAAATGATAAAATGATATCCATATAATAAAAGGAAGTCAACTTTTGGGGGAGATATGCACCTGATCATCACTGCTCCAACAGTATCCAGTCTTGGTATTCTTCATCAGAAGCTCATGTCCTTCTTCAATTTCTATCGAAGGGTGGCTTAGTTTCTCACAAAAGACGGCATGAAAAGATTTCAGAGAAGGGCAGAGCATGGTTCCTCTGAACACGGAATTTAATTCTGGTAGCTTATACAAGTACACAAATCTGAGTTTGGGGAGGGTGATGGTAGGGAGAATATTGTCATTGCTACAATCCTCTCCAACTATCTCTTCCATCGACTTGCAAGATATTACAGAAATGCCCTCGAGGAGGTGTGATAATAATGCCCACGTCAGCAGAATCCTCATCCTGCTGCATTCATGAATAAAAAGGTACATAAGGTGAGAAAATGGGGTGCATTTATGAACGAATGGAGCAAACGGTGCAGCTATGGGCTTTAAGTCTTCCAAAAGGTCACACTCACATATAATCAACTCCTTGACGTCTCGTGGAAGCACCACTCTGTTTCCCAAATTAATACCACAAAAAACAACCCTTTTTGAACAATAGGCTTCCCAACCATCAACATACAACTTGAGATAAAAATTCAGTGACGTAGCTGAACTTAAATGGTATTTTTTGAGTACGCGATCTTTGTACGGGAAACTCTCAACATAGTCATTAAACTCTTTAATGTTACAAAAGTTAACTGAAATATCTTCTACATTTCTCAAACCCTGTAAATCGTGTGCCCTCATATCCATTGATTTTGGGTAACGGTTCAATATAAGAGACTGCAGATTGGTCATTTTGGCTATCATTGATGGTGATATTTTCAACTGTTCTATATCATCTAGATTCAGATATCTAAGATTGACCAACAATTCCAAGCCACAAGGTGCTTCAGTTATGGCAGTATGTGAAAGGTCCAATGATATTAACCGCTGCAATTTTACTAATGAAGGCACATAACTCAGTTTTGTACAATTTGAAAGTAATAATGTGATGAGACATACCAAGTTAGAGATGGATTCGGGCAAACACTCGATGCCAGTCCTAGACAAATCCAGTACTTTAAGAGAGGCATGTTGTTGAAAAAATCATCTGGGATCCATTTGAGATCATAATTACAATCTAAACGCAATGTGGAAAGTTTAGAACACCTAAGAGATGTGCCATCTACAATTTTCTGTATTTCATTTCTGCTCAAAAAAACTTTTTGCAAATTTTCATGCCATTCACCATTTTCCGGTATTTCTGTCAAATTCATATCAGATTTGTCCATAATTTCATCAGTCTTCTTTACAATATTAATAGCCATGACCCTCAGCAATTTGGGCATAATCCAAAATTCCCCATCATATATTTCCATAAGCAAACTGTTATTCTTTAATTTCTTCATCATGGTGTAACCTTCATTATACTGCATCTCCAAGCTCTTTTTCTCATCTATCCATTCCTCATGGAAAAATCTTCTAATCAAACATCTAAAATTACTGTCAACAAAACATTCCTTGCCAGTTAATGCAAGGTACAAAAAAAATCTTTGCAATTTATTATTTAAGCAAGCATAGCTAGATTTCAACACAGGAAATACCCTCTCCTCCATATCACTTTGCCCCTTATCCAAGTTTTGAAGGCATTCCAACAGATGACTCCATTCTCTTTTCCCTTCTTTTCCCTTCATGCTTCTTGCTATCGTAACAATTGCAAGGGGCAAACCCTCACATTGTTTAGCCACAGTACTTGCTATAGGCTCCACTTCACTAGATTGCATCATATGGGATCCAAGAGTTGTTTTAAACAATTCCCAACCATCTTCTTCATTTAATGGTTCTACTTCTATTACGCTCTTCAAGCAGTTCATAGTTTGGCACACTTCCCATGAACGAGTTGTCAAAATCAATTTAATCCCATTATTCGAAACAGGAAATCCAACCTCTTCTTCTAAAAAGATAGGATCCCAAACATCATCTAAAAGAAGGACACATCTATTTAAATGCTTAGATGCTTGCACCAATTTCCCGGATATTCTTTTCACATCATGGCTCATCAGATATGTCTAAATTAATTGATCTTGCTATGACCTTTTGCAACTCATAAATGGTATCATATCGTGATGCTGTAACCCAAATAACATGGTCAAAGTCATCGCCAGCTTCTTTTAAAAGCTTGTTATGTACATGAGTTGCTAAAGTTGTTTTCCCTGCTCCTCCCATTCCCCATATCCCAATTGTTGACACCTTATTTTCCATTAGCCATTTCCATATTTGTTTAGCATAACTTTGAAACTTCTTGCCCACTAACTCAATTGTTGGCAATTCATAACCTTTAACACATCCTAGCAATAAGAATAAGAATAATCAATTAACATGAGGTCACAATAGGAATTATTTCTTTCAAACACAAGAAGTGAGAAGAATAAAATACAAAAATCATTGAATATATTCCATTTACATATCCTTCACCATGTCTTAAAAACAAAGTGATAATCATTTAGTATGATATGATAATAGCTATTCTTACTTTAAGGGAAGTATGATATGATAATAGCTATTACTTACTTTAAGGGAACTTAGAAAGAATATATAATTTAAGTTAAAGCATATACCTTTTCCAAGCTAGCATTTTTTCTCTTGACTCTATTATCAGAGGCAACCAATTCCATACATGCCCCTCTTCCAACATCTTCAGATAATGTTTTGCATGTATCAACCCACTTTCTTTCAATTGCAGTTTTGCCTTGCTTGCATCTTCTTGCTACTTTATCATATAGTGTTTTCTTTTCTTGGTTTAAGTCACTGTTGAGGAACTCTAAAGCCAAATCCAATCTTTCTTTATTACTGTCAAACTACACATTTTATCCATATCATTTATATGTATGCGTGAATGAATATGTATAGAGCATTAACAAAAACTAACAAGTTGGCAAGTGACCATACCTGAAATGAGGGATTTTGCCTCACAAAATTATCTGATTGTTGCATATATTTAATAACAAATATACCACAATCATATCTACGTATTGAAGAAATATGATATGGTCAGGATGCACACTTGCTTTAATAAAGCTAATAATTTAGAATAAAAAATCATAAACTCACCCATTAGGCTGTAATGGGATATTGATTGCCATCGTCCAGAGAAATTTTGTGAACACGGCAACCCCGAGGAATTTGTCCATGGCAAGCAACTACATATACGAAATTAATTATATATATAGAATTAAAATATAAATATCAATATATTAATTAACGAATATTACAGTTATTTAATACTTACCAGTTTTTGTGTTGTTCGTTCACGTTCAGTTTTATCCATAAATTGATCATAAAGAGAATTTCATATTTCAACAACTTCATTCTTCACATGAATAATGTATAAATAAAAATGTCCACAAGAATTTTTTTTAGCATGGACAGGAATAAAATTCTGTAATATGTGATCAAAAAAATCAGATTGACATATAGTCAAAAGAGCATTCATAATGGTAAGCGAAACATCAACTACAAGAAGAGAATAACATAATACCTTCTCACAATAGTTTAAGTGAAACATGTAGTTTTCTCTCATATTATGCCGCTCAACAAAGTTAAGGAAGGAACTTACGTCACTTTTGAGCGCTTCATTCTATAACAAAAGAAACATTAAACATATTTGTCAATAAATTTTTTTAAATTCCAGAACTAACATATATCATCCTATTGAAAAGGGAATAAAATATCACCGAAAACATCACTGGAAGGTACAAATTCAAAGGTTTACTTTTCTTCCTTTCAGTCTCCGTCAAGATATAGACAAAAATATCTATTACCTAAGAAAACAGAAAAATTAAACTCTTTAACATAACCAAGACATTCCTCAATAATAACAAATTAGAATAAAAGTATAAGTAAATACTCACCCACGAATTCAAATCGGCCTCCGGTCTAAGAGTAATAAAGTCAGATTGTGTCAAATGTAAACGTGGTGAAGAGAAAATTTTCTCATCACTGAATAAAATATAAGATTAGAGATTAATATTTAAGCTTAGAAAAACAAATAAACAGAAATACTGTTTAGTAATATAATTCGAAGTATGTATATAAATCTAACCTGCATGATTGTTCAAAAACATATTGAATCAACCGCAAGTCAGCTTCATTCACCATATGAGAAACAGAGAAAGGGCAAACATGAATCCTCTCTCGATGCATAGCTTCAGTGTGTTTGAAGGACATGTAACAATCAAGCATTAATGTTTCATTCCTCGCTCCAATAAATAAGAAGAAAAGCTGATACCTTATTTAGAATTAATATACTAATCATCACAATCCACAACATATACAAAAACGATGTTTATCACTAATGTTAATTTGTCCCTATGCGTCCCATGTGCCTAGGTTCGTAGACTTAGGTCTCTGGTGCTGGTGGCAAGTTAGTACCAGGGATATTGGACCTGTTTAGTTTCTGTTTTCATTTTTTTAAAAAAATTGTTGTATAATATAATTTTTAAAATTGTTTTTCAAAACAAATAAAATAAAAATTTGCTGGGTTATGTTAATTTAAAAATAGCATTACAATTAAAAAAATAGACTAATAGTAATGGTATAGGCAGTTAATGGTAGTAATTTATGATAAAAATTGATCAACACTGTAATTTTCAATAATCAAATGGAATATATTTTAAAAAAATGAAATGAAAACAACTTGAAATTGTTTTTATTTTTTTGTTTTTTAAAAAAATGAAAATAGTTTTAGAAACAATTAAATCGAAAACACTTAATCAAACAAGTTTTTAAATTTTTTTTGTTTTTAAAAACAAAAAATAGTTTTTAAAAACAAAAAAAATAGGACCTTAGGACCTATTCGGTTTCTATTCTCATTTTTTATTTTTAAAACTATTTTGTAATGCCATTTTTAAAATTATTTTTCAAAACAAAATAAAATGAAAATATGTTTGGTCATGTTAATTTTAAAATTATTTTAAAATTTAAAAATAGACTGATAATGATAATTATAGGTGATTAATATGGGGGTAATTCATGATAAAAATTAGTTAAAATAATTATGATTTTTAATAATTAAATGTAAAATATTTTTAAAACAAGAAAAATAAAACAAAATAACTTGAAGTTGTTTCTTTCTTTCTTTTTTTTATTTACCAGTAACTTGAAGTTATTTCTATTTTTTTATTTTTAAAACAAAAACTAAAAATAGTTTTAAAAATAATTAAATTGAAAACACATCATCAAACAAGTTTTTAATTTTTATGGTTTCAAAAACAAAAAAAAAGCAGTTTTAAAAAACAAAAAACAAACAAGCCCTTAGTTTCTGGTTTTCCTTTTTTTTTCCCCTAACAACAAAATTGGCATTTGAGAGTTGAGTATTTTCATCCTCTGTAAATGAAAACTTATCAATAAAATTTACAGGTGTAATCCTTTTTTTCCTTAAAAACAATAATATAATATACACACACATAATTGAGAATCATGTTATGGCGATAATTTTTGTTGAAGAGTTGCAGGGGTCAGATTTGATTTCACAGTTTGCATGTGAGTAGACCCGTGAACACAAGCCAGGCCTTCAAACTTATAAAGCCAGTTTCAATCTTGCATTTTTTTTCAGAGTCAGACTATAAAAATCGGTGTTTTTTTTTTTTTTAAGCCTAAAAGGAATTTTAAGCTTCACCTTAATCAACATGTTAAAAATAAGTTTGGGCTAACTCATTAGGCCCAGTTTTTTATCTAATTAACATGTGGTTGAAATTGTTAAAATTTGTTTAATTGAAATTATTGATGTTACAAAATAATATGGTTAAAATTATTTGATTGATTTTAATTTTGAATTAACATATAAAAATGACACAATTTATTAAATTATTAGTATAATTAAAATTTTAAATTTTAAATTAGAAAAATTCAGCCCAGGCCTTGCAGCTCTGCGTACGAGGTCCAAGGCAAAAAGCCCTTTTTGGGGTTAAAATAATAAAATGTGCTCCAAATAGATTGTTATAATAGTATACTATTATTATAATAGCTGTCAAATAAATGGTTTAATAATACCCTAACAAGATACTGAAATATCACTCTCCCATTTAAAGTAAAATACAAATAATATTATTTCGTACCTTGGGATGAGGGAGATCTTCTAGCGAGAAAGAATCATCAATGGCAAGGAGGTCCTCTTTCTCTTTGAGATCACTGGTCACTTTGTCGGATTGATTGTATTGTTTAGCTGAGGAGAACCAGGACACGGTCGAATTCCCTGACCCTTGATCTGATTAATATGGGCTTTGATGCGATTAGCACTTGCTGCAAATTTCAATCCCAATGTTTACACTCTACTCTTTTCCCTTCCAACACCCTGACGTGTTCCCACATGTCAACTGCCTCTGGCCTTCCACCTGCTCCTGGTTTCTCCATCACTCTCGCATTCAATTTCTCCAAACAAAAAAACAAAGAGAAGCAATAAAGAAACCCATATCAGAGACAGGGAATCAGTATGAAAGTCTGAAACGAAAAGCAAGTAGAGAGACAGAGAGTTGGTTTGCTTACTCAGGTTTTACTTGAGGTTCGGAAGATGAGAGAAGCGATCAGATCGCTATGATGTGAAATATGATGCCTGAGAATGGGGAGGAGGAAGAAGAAGAAGAGGCAGCAGTGAGTCAATAATAACAAAGTCGTCTCGGATTTAGTTTCAGATCACGGGTCTCTTGGACACGGCAAAATTCTGAAGCTTTGAAGTCATTGGGGCCTTCTTTCCGCCTTCTCGGGGAAGGTGACAAGGATGGGAGGTGACAAAGATAATACTTTCTCTTTCTTAAATTATAAAACATTTAAAAAAAAACTTTGACATTTTACAGTATGAAATATTTTGATAAAATTATAGTTTTACTAAACAGACTTATTCTATTTATTTAATAATTAAATATAAATTTAAGGTTATCAAATAAAAATATTTTTAAAATTTTATAATTTTTTTAAAAAATAAATTTGTTAAGTTTATTCAATAAAATTTATAAATATGTAAAATTTTATTTAAAATTATTTTATAATTTGAGACAAAAAGATTATTCTCTTCATTTAAAAATGTAAGGTATTTTTTGAGAATTTAAATATTAAAAAATATAACATGTTTTAAGATGTAATCATTGTTTTTTTTAAGTGCTCTATTGAATAAATCACTTTATATTTTTTTAGAATAAAACACCCTATTAAATAGAAGTAAATATAAAAAGATAAAGTTAGATTTAAAAATAAGTAACTATTCTATTAGAAGTGAGATTTGATTGAAAATATCTTATATTTTTTAACGAAAGGAGTACAATCTTTGTTGCTCTTCCATTTAATATTATAAAAACATTTTTAATTTAAGTATAATTTTAATAAGTTAGTTAATTATGTTTAAAATTATATACTCTTTTCATATTTATACTTTTTTAGTAGTTTGTTTTTATTAGAAAACTTTGTTAATTATACTGTCTTATTAAAGATATTTAAAAAAACTCATTAATTACATTTTAAAAGACTTGAAATCACTTATATTTTTTAATATCTCACCTTAAAAATATGTTTTATATTTTTTAAATAGCGAAGTATCTTTTCCAAACATTATGGGAGCAACCTAAATAATATTCTATAAATAACATATAAATAAGATTAATTATATAAATCACTTTACATTTATTTTAAGTTAAATATTAAATAAGAATCAAATTGAACTTAGAGCTTTGGATTAACTTTAAATTGAAGTTGGGATGGCTCAAACCTTAGTTAAAAGCATTAAAAGCTCGTTACAAAATAAAATCATGTTTGGATTGATAAAAAATTTCAATTGAAGTTAAGGTTCAAATGAGTTTTTTTTTTTTTCAAATCTCATTTTCATGACTTTTGCATTAGCCTTGAGTGGTGGAAGCATTTAATCCACTTTCAATTTTTATTATTATTTATTTTTGCATTGGCATTCAGCATGAGAGAGAGAGCTTTTTCTTATTTTTTTACTAACAAAAGCAGGAGAAAGGTTGAAGAAGAATCTCTAATTAATTAACATGTTTAATATATATTAATTTATTTTATGTTTCTTAACTCTATTTTTTAGATAAAATTATAATTTAAAGTTTCATTTTTTAAAATAGAATGTTGGTTAATCAAAAAGTTTAATATTTTTTTAAAAAAAACCAAATTAATCACAAAAATATATAATGAAATTTATGTCCTTTATTATCATTATACTTTTAAATTGACATTTGAATTAAATTATTCAAATAAATTTTAGTTTATTTAATTGACTTTTAAAAAAAAAGTATCCAAACAAAAATTATGTTAAAATTACAGATATTTTTTCTAACCTCAGTTGAGTCCTCAATTGTAGATTTTTTAATCAAATACACACATAGAAAGATGTTAGTTTGAAGACAATTAGTGTCATGCTTCAAAAATAGAGGATGACCGACACAGGATGTGAACCACTGTATATTCCTTAAGCCTTGAATCAATTAATCTTTCTATGACTAAAACCTAATTATGTTTTTAGTTCAAATTAGAACATGCATAAACATTTTTAACATTTATAAAAGTTTTAATATTTTTGTAGAAATTTCAGCAAAACCTCTTCTTTAAACAAGATCTCCCAAAAACTCTATACTCAATATTTTACACTAAATATCATATTAATCAGGAATTCAATTCCTTCCGACCACCAAGCAAAAATATATGACAAAATAAAGGTTTTAGCTATAGACTATGTGGAGCACATAAATTAAGCTTACAAAATAAAATTTCCTAATTTAAAACATTACATCAAAAGAATACTTAATCCTTAACTCATCCACCTTTAGTCAATAATAGACTCCTCAATATTGGCGGATGGTTCAGTGTCAGCTACACTATCTGAGACCAAAAATATTTTTCAGTGAATAACGTCCCAATAATAAATAATTAATTGAATAAAAAAATTAGGAACAATTATGTAAGTAAAAAAAAAAAAGACAATGATCTCCATAAAGATTCAAATAAGCGTGGAACAACAGGATTCTATATAACTTTAAATGAAATCTTGAACTATTAAATTATCATATCAAATGTTGTCATAACTTAATTTCAAGGAAACAATTAAACAAAATAAGTAATTAAAATATGTTGCTAATTAAAACAAATGGAATATGAAATCATTAAATAATCAATTTCATATTTATAGGGACTTATCAGAACAATTAACAAATATGGACACACAGTCCATGAGGGCAAATAACCAAACGCGACTTATGCCACGAAGACAAACGTGGACACACAATCCACGAGGATAAGTAACCAAACGTAGCCGAAGTCACGAAACATATGTAGATACACAGTCCACGAGGGCAACTAACCAGACGTGGTTGAAGCCACGAAAACAGATGCAGGTACGAGACCCACAAATAACAGACGTGAGAACAAGCTCATGAAATTTAACTAGCTAGTAATTGATCATGGCGCGCCAAGGGTTAACGGAATTGCCATTAGCTACTAGTGTTCTGTCTAAAATCCCTTAAACAATTAATTTTCAAACATGCAAAAAAAATAATCATTTTCGAATTAAAATTTCTCTTGTCCATATCAGACTCACATGAATTATGTAAACACCTGTTCTTTTCACTGTAAAAACTTACAAACTCTTTCACAAAATTTTCCTCATTGTCCTTGTCGAATAAGGATTACTAAAACTTGAAAAAAAAACGAGTTGATCAATGTTGTAAGCACATAACATGGCTTAGGAAAATAGAGTTATTCAATCAACAGAAATAATCAATGCTTATGAAATATATATACATATACACACATATATAAATAGATAAAATTGTGAATTGTTGAAATCAATATCTTTGATGAAAAAAAACTTTGCTAATAAATTATTTGGGACGTTATTCACTTACCTAAGACATTCTCTACCCTAACCGGTCCTCTTGCAACAATGTTTGCTCTTTAAATCCTAATGCCCAAATAATAACATTATTTTTATTTTAAAGATTTATTTATTTATTTTATTTTTTATACCTTTTTAACTCTAAATCAATTTAGAAAAAAATAACAAAGACAATTTTCATCTTTAATTTAAATTTTCTTTTTCCCCAACATTTCATAGGTATTTCAAAGACTAATATTTTGATAATCAATTGGCTCTTGCATTAATAATCAAAATTACTCTTTCCAAACATCCCTATCTCTAACTCCACTTCCTTATGGAGATAATTATCTTCCATGACTGCTTAATATGTGATGATATAACTATTACAAATAAATATATTTTTTAATTAAATTTCTATACAATGTCCAACTCAAAATTAGATAAGAGCATCCCAACCATTTATGTTTTTCCCAAGAGTTTATAAGATTTTAGGAAAATACTCAATCAACTAACAACTTCTAACAAACATTCTAACAATATCTTATCAGTATCAATTCCTAGCTCAATCAATGATACTTCTTAACCTCCTATCAATTATCCAAAATTTTTCAACATTAATAATCAGATCAAATAAAAAACTCAAGCCTAGCCTAACATTCTCTTGTTCTTTATACACTACAATTTCAACTTCATAATTTCTGCTTTTTGCTTAACAAATATGGTAATAAAAGGAAAAATTTCCAACCATTTTATCTCTATATTCACCCACACACATACAGAGCAACCATGAAGAGGAAGATCAAAATTTCTCACCTCAATTTACAGTAGTAGAAAGGGAACGAAATTTACAGCATAAAAGAAGGAGGAAGTTTCAAAATCAAATTTCCAGAACAACAGTCACGTCTCCCCTGTTCTTCGGCACCCAAAAACGAAATAAATGAGAGAAGAGAAAGGAGGTTCAAAGCTCTCTATGGCAGTGAACAGTAGTGTCGTGTTGCAAGAGAGGAGGAGATTTTTGACTCACCCTTGTAGTTACTCAGACAGATCAGAAGGAAGAGGCTTCAATGATGAAAGACAGAGGAAGATGAGGGAGGCTACAGGTTACATACAGCCATGGCAAACAAAGCAACGACGGCGACTACATGAATAAGAAACGCCCATATCGGCAAAGGCTGTGAACAAGAAGGGAAAGAAACTTAAATGCTCAGATCATCGCCCGACAGAGGAAAAAATGACCTCACTAATCTGCAATAGAGAAGGAAGGAAAGAGCACAAACTTGGCAAAGGAGTGTCGGACAGAACTCTCGCACACTCACACGCTAACAATGCTGCGGACGGAAGTAGGAGGAGACGGAGAAGGCAGAGAGTGAGAGATGAGAGAATCTAGAATTTTCTACAGAGCCCCAAATGCTGAATCGTGCCAGAAATAGAGAGGAAAAGAAAGGGAAAAAAAATCTGTGGAGGCAAGGGTAGTTTTGTAATTTCACGGTACAAAAGTATTTCTGGCTTCAACCAGGTCCGAACTCAAGATTAGATGTAAGAGATATATGCAAACTCCCACTATACCAACACCTCCTCTTGTCATAATTATTCCAAATTAATATAACTACAATTCAACCACAATAATATATGTATTTATATTATATATATATATAATATATATTTTTACTCAAAATTCTTGAGTTATTACAATTAACTAATAAAATTAATTAAAAACATCTTATAATTTTATTCAACTTGCTTGATGTACGTATAACATTACATAATCACATATCGAAGAGACGGTACGTGGATGAATTTTCTTCTGAGAAAATTAAATTAGTGGCAAATTCAAATGTTCAAACCAAATCTTGCTGGCCAACCTTCTTTCTGTTTTTTGCTCCAAATAGACTTGACATTTTCCAAATTCTGCAGAAGCTGATCAATCCTATCCTTGTCATCAAGTACACATGAATTTGTTTTCTAGAATTTCGTTATTCAGATCCAAATTTTGACTTTAGGTGTTTGTTTTGTTTCAATTTAATCTCTAACAAAGATTATTGTTTTCTTTATCTTCAACTTCTGAAATACTTTGAAATTTTTATTTCTTTGATCTTCTACATTTGCGAGACCATTTAAAGTGAATATTAAGTCATTTACTAAATTTAAATCCATAAAATTTCAAATTAGACACACAAAAGTAAAAATTAAGAGGAATATATAATCGAGTGTTCAGATGCCCACATGGTGATAACTAAAAGAAGTCAAATTAGAAATATATTCCATGGTTTCATTATACATCTAAAACAACGTAAAAATATCATCTTAGTTAATCATAAATTCAATATAATCATTAAATGAACATTTTATATTCAAATTTGGCAAGGAGTAAAAAAAGGTTTCCCTACTAATTTGGGACCAGATCAAGGTTGGTTTTGAAAGCTAACATATACCAAAATCCATTGGAATAGACCCAACATTGATTGGAAATTATTAGTCATGATTTAAACCATAGAAGCATAAGCATTCCATAAGAATTTTTTTAATGTAATTATTAAAATAAGATAATTATTAAAATACCAACTTAACAAGATCATTATTTTGAAAGTAATTATTATTGATCTTATATATAATTTATTTCTCATTCTATATATAAAAAAATTTAATTCCATAAATATCATTTGAATGATTTTATTTAATTTTAAAATAATTCATAAGAAATTTTTTCTAATAATAATTTTATAAATTATTTCACATAATTTAAATTTATTTAATTTTTTATGAAAATACTTTTAGTGGATTTTGCCGCTACAAATAATTATCTAAATTAATTTTTGTAAAAATATTTTAATTTTTTAATTATTAATTATTTATAAAAATACTTTTGGCAACAACAAACTGCCACTACTAAAATTAATTAATTAAATTATTTTAGTTTTTAATTATTTTTATATAAAATACTTGTGGCTGTTAAAAGTAATTATCTTGATTGATATTTTTAACTTATTTAAAAAAAAAAGATCAAGACTCAATTTTCGTTAATTTAAAAAAAATGGGATGTAACTGTCATTTTCCCTAAGGTATATATATTAAATTGTTGGAAAAAAAAAAAAATATATTAATTTGTTATTTTTCCTATCTCTTTTCGAGAATCAAGATGAGAGCTAGCTTCAACTTCTTTAATGTTGATATTATATACTTAGTACTTTTACTAAACAAACGAGCACTAGGTATGAAATTCTGAAGCAAAATAAAGTGCATGCATGAACTCCAACACCAGGATATAAATGTTTTCATTGTGATAATACGATATGCATATAATCTTTAAATGCAGCTTACAACTATGGCACTCCAAAAGGAATACTTGGCAAGCAAAAATGTTATTTTAACTCTCTAATAATTACAACAATGGTAATCCAGTTTAAGGCTGCTAACCTTATCTTTCTGTTTTTTTCTTTTCCCCTCCAAAAGACATTTCCAAATTCCACAGAAGCTGATCAATCCTCAATCCTATCCTTGTCATCAAGTACTCATGATTTTTTTTTTTTTCCCCAGAATTTCGTCATTCAGATTCAGACTCAGTTCTGACAAAAAAAAAAAGTCAGAGTCAGAGGCCAGTCCTGAACTAGCAATTGAACTAGAGTACAAATTCACATTAAGAACCTTCAGATGATTATATTTTAAAAGGAAATATTGGTTCAACTTGCTTAATGCAACAAATTTCCTATTAAAATTAGCAAGAGGCAGTTGAACTAGAGTGAATCACTAACAGATTCTGAACTTGTTACTTCCAAAATATTCATAATCAACCTTTAACAATTTTCAAATATATATCATACATTTTCTGGTCTATGTATACTAAAACAAAAACATTAATGGGTCTTTTGGGATTAACAACTCAATTATATACTAAATTTTTCATGCTACTACGTATACAATTTCATATTAAGAGGAATTTCCTATTAAAATATCTTCTCAGCTAATTATAAATTCAATGCAATCCAATAATGAAAATTTTATATTCAAATTCAACAAAGACCCAACATTATTCCTTGGAAGAGGAGTCTGGAAAGCATAGAAGCATATACATGCTTTCTCTGATCATATTCATAATTCACTTTTAACATATTTTAATCGGAATCATATAAAACATTAAACCTCATTAACTTTATTTTAAAATTTAATAAGTTTTCATCTCTACCTTAATAAGAAACAAATAATAATTTTTAATAATTTTTTCTAACATTTAGTAAAGACAAAAAGGTAAAAATGAGTGTAGTGAAATGTTCTATAAATAAGAACAAAAATTATTTTTCTTTCTCTACCTTAGGAATAGGACTAAAGAAAAATATAGCATATCAATCTCATTTTCTAATGCATCAATGCATTCTCAGGGTATAAATTTAATCAAGGAATTGTCTAGTAGCCCTCTTTCCAGAAACGTCAAGAACAAGTTAAATATTTCGCCAAGCTTCAAACACATATCCATTTGATTTTGTAACCTGCATTTTGGGTTTTAAAAGACCCAAAATTGCAAGGCACGGATTGAACTCTAAAGAACAAATTAACATCAAGATGTATATGCCACAAATTGGCTAGGTATAGTTAACGTTTATCTGAAGTTCTACTTGATTATAATCAAAATAACATATATTGCACTCTCAAACTTTCAAAAGACTGATTAAATTGAAGTTGAAAAGGGCACGACCTTTTTTATTGGC